TGGAATGGGCGTTTGTCTCGACGGGTGAGTTCCAGACTCTGTGCAATGCCCCGGAGGAGGTCTGTTCGGTCTTAGGTCGTAAGCCTCCCATCCTCCCACCACCCCATCACCCTCCACTGGCAGCGGGGGATTCACCTGTGGCCCTTGGTTTGCAGCTTCTGGATTTTGGTTATTAACATTTTGGCCTCCCAGGGCATAAGGCAGGGAGCTGAAGGCGTTTCAAAATCCTCCCTCCCCGCCTCATCTTGCAACACCTTTGATTTAGGTTTAACCCATGGAGCTGCAATCTTACGCTGTGCCTGCAGCCCCTTATTTCTCCACAATGGCATAAAAGCATCAACCCGCATAACCTCCTCCCACTTCCCATTCCTTTTACAAAACACAGTTGTAAAATGTTACATTCCAAACGTCCACTAGGGGGCCGCACTGCTCCATCTTCTAACTGATGCAGTGGCCAACCTATTTACCAAGAATACTTCCATTTTCTTTTGTCTTGGGCTCCCCTCCAAACTGTTTCCAATGTTTAAGGATGCATCCAAGAGGACTACATTCTTGGATCCTACTCTGTCCACCTCCCAATCTTCAATTGGCGCTGTGGGTCGCCTCCTCTTTTCTTTCTGATCCCTGAAAACCTAGCAATGCCTCACAGGTTTTGTGCTGGTCTTGGCACCCAGATGCTGAAGCCTTGTCAGGTCAGCCAGCCCCACACGATCAGATGACAGGAATGGACTTATATCCCTTTCCAATGAGGTACCAGATGGAGGTTGAGAACGCAGTCCTCCCCCGGCCTCAAGCCTTCCATTCCACACTCTTTGGGCGTCACACCTTTGAGTCTCTGGCGTTACTCTTATGTCAACCCAAACACCCAACTCCAGCTCATTTAGTGACAGCTCATAAACACATGCGGTTCTGGGGCTGCTTGCCACCCACAAGGCAGGGTGCAGGGCAGCCAGAAGGGCAGAGACGGGAAAGGGGAGATAGGCGGGTGGGGGAAGTTGGAGGCAGTCCCTTACCTTATTGAGGCTCAAGGCAGGGAGGAAGCAAGTCAGGAATGGCTTGGATTGGGGTGGGTCGTCGCTTAACGACACGTGAATCTCAGTTAACAATGGCAGCAGGAGCCATGAGTCCAAGAAGACCCCCGGATTGCACGCCACCCCTCAGTTAGGAAGTGCAACCCAATCCAGGATTAAAGATGTCATATTCCTGGACCCAGGGGGCCTTAATATCCACAACCACTTGGTCTCAATAGAATTGAACTGAAGAGTTCTCTGCAGCTGTAATCCAACTACCTTCTCAACAACCTTCTCCAAAAAGGGAAGATTGGAGATGGAATGATAAATGTCCAGAATGGCTGATGGCATCTTGAGAAGGAGCAGACTACTTTTTCAAGGTCAGAAGTACCATCCCCTTGGTCGAAGAGGCCAACACCACAATGTGGACCCAGCCACAGATCACCTTCCTGGCTGCCTTCACAACCCAAAAGGGACCCAGGTCCAACAAACAGATGGCCCAACTTACAGATGGAGAACCCTGTCCATTTCCTTGTGGAGTTACTGGTTCAAATTCATCTCAGACATACAGTCAGGTCCAGAAATATTGGGACATCGACACAATTCTAACATCTTTGGCTC